CACGAGATAAGAACAGGCCAGCCGTTGCCGCCAGTGCATAGCCGGCCAGCCCAGCGGGGCAGAGAGGAGCAACCATGGAGAACGGAAAATGGCTGATTCTTTTCTAATACTTCCTACAACAGAGAGAAGGTCACTTAATTTGAAGGTGTTAGTTTTCGGGGCTATCCTTGTGGAATGTCTCTGGTACAGTGAGCAAGTCTGTATGGTTCTAAGAAAAAGGGCCGCTTCACAGCAGTGATACACCGGCCTTCTCTGTCCTGGAATGAGTGAGTTGTCCTTGTTCACTTCTAAGATCCAGGAGACAATCCGGGGATTGCCACAGGGAGGGAAAAGCAGACACTATAAATAGACTCAGTAGCGTAAAAATTAAACAAGGGGCAACAGAGACCCAATAACAATCCACATCTTTGGTTCTTAGTGCAAGTCCTGTTCCTTCTAAGATCAAAGCAAGCATCAGTTCCGAATCTACTAGCTTGAAGAAGCCACACCCTAAAGACAAAACAAAGACAGTGAGAGAGGGCTGGCTCAGGGGGTAAAGGTACTCGCCACCAACCCTGACAGGCCTGATTTCAATCCCCAAGAGGCACATGGTAGAAGGACAGAACTCCACATGAATGCTGTCCCCCGACAGTAAAGAAATAAATGTAATAAAAAGTTTAAAACAAAATCCCACACATTTTGTCTTTGACTTTTTTCCTTCATTGGCGAGCACATACTGCTCTTACAAGGAGAACAAGTGAACTAACTGATGCTCAAGGCAACCACATCTTCTCAGAACTGGGGCTTGTGGAACCCCTGGGCTCACCCCAGAATTGCTGAGTTCTGCACTGTGGAGATACCTTTTAATCCATTCCCACTGTCTGCCTAACCCACGTAGGGATTCAAGTTGTTTTCTAAAGAGAGACCCACAATGTTGCCAAAGGCCTTCCAAATCCAGGACACTGAGGTACACAGAACGAGGCTCCAACAAAGGCTGGAAACCCTCAGAAAACACAAGCTCACTCTAAAGATAACCAACCGGCCAGGGGAAGAAAATAACAAACGGGACAAGATCCAGCCTCATGGACTCATCATGGTAAACTCTTTTGCTTTCAGTACACCCTCAGCCCATTCCAAAGCAGCAAGGGACAGTCATGGTTTTTATGCCATTAAACCTCTCCTGTACAAGACACTTCCTCCCTTTCCACGAGACCTGTGGCTGTAGGCTATGCATCCCCCACCTTGCCTCCGTCCCAGTGTCCCAGGCTTTGGAATTTTTTTGCTACCAACTTGCTCTCTGCATGCCTTTAAACCAGCTGCATCATGTCTCTCGGCAAGCCCTGACTGACAAGTACCACGTGAGGGAGACTCAGACATCAGTGTGTCAGGAGAGATAAGAGTCTATCAGGCTGGGGGAGGGGAGAACTAAGCTGTGGTTTCCTAGAGGTGCAGCAGCTGCTGGAGCTATGCATGGCTGAAGGATTCTTATTCAGGGACAGAAGGAGAGAAGAAAGTCAGATGGCATCTGGTTGTGTTGTTTGCTTGAGACAGGTTCTCTCTTTGAAGCTCTGGCTGGCCTGGAATTCCCAGTGTAGACCAGATTCCTCCCAAACTCACAGAGACCTGTCTCCCTCTGCCAACCAAGTTCTAGGATTAAAGGTATATACCATCATGCCCAGTGGAATTTGGGTGTTTTTGTTTTGTTTATATCTGCAGGCCATCGGAGATTTTTGAGACAATGCAGGTGGGCCCTCTGTTCAAATTCATTCTTAAAACTAGGCCACAGAGGATAAGAGATGCAAAAGGCTTGGAAACGGGGACACAGAATGCCAGATTTGTCTGGGAAGGGTAGCAGTGCTCTCAAATTCCAGTGTGAGCAGCATTGGCTACATAACTGATGGGATCCGATTGCAAATTTAAAATGTAGGGTCTTAAGCGTTTCCAGATGACTGAGTAGTATTAAAACTCTGGAGTATGCTTTTAAATATAAGGCTGTATGGAGCAGCAAGCTATGCTGGTGAAGCCAGCCCTTGTGACGTGACAGAGAGGGGCAGGTCAGAAGAAAGACCTACACAGCAGCCTCAGGCCCTGGGAAGAGAAGAAACAATGTAGCAAGACCTTTAGACCACCCTACTGCTTATAGGACGTCCCTCAAAGGAGCCTTGACAAGCTCTAAGTTGTTGTTAGTGTATTGTTTACACTCCACGCCCCTCCTTCCCTTCAATCCCTAACCCTGTTGCTGTAGGGTCTGCAGTTGCACTACCATTCACCCAGTGGTTGATTAAAGACTTTGATATCACCCTCCCGTGAGGTCCTGCTGCCCTTGTGTCTCCATCACATCCCCATGTCTCTGTCACATCCCCGTGTCTCCGTCACACCCCCGTGTCTCCCTCACATCCCCGTGTCTCCCTCACATCCCTGTGTCTCTGTCATATCCCCGTGTCTCCCTCACATCCCCTTGGACACTTTACTTTCTAAATCTCCCATTCATGTGGCTTCTTCACAGCTGTGACCACTGACTGCTACGTTTAAGCAAGTCTACCAGCTCAGGTCTGGATTATCTACGCAAGCCTGCCGTCCTTCTCCACGACCTCAGTCTGGGTGTCACTCCCACTCTCAGATAACTCCTCCATCCTCCACAGAGCCACTTCATTGATGATCATACAGTAACCCAATCAGGTCACCATGACCCAGTGCATAAGATCCAAATGTCTTAACTTCTCTTAAGTTTTTAAAGAATGGAACGTGTTTTCATTGGTTACAGTAGAAAAAGGCAAATGGGCTGGGCACTATGTAGAGTTACACGCAGCTTGAAACAACGGGCCTCATGGGGCAAGGTGACAGGATATTCTTTGTTGTAGCTTCCAGGCATGTAATTCATGCCTCTTGAAGGAGGGCACTCTAGATTGGCTGGTGTGGAATTCTAGGACCTTAGTGTGAGCCACCGTGAACTGAACCTCCGGTGGAACAGTCTCTGCTGTGTAGATTGGGCAGTCTGGTCCTAGACGAGGGTCTCAGGGTGCTAGGTCATACCTCTGTGGTACCATTCCAACCTAGCCTGGCCTCCATCATGATTTCAGGACAGCCTGCAGCTCTCTAGGAAGAAAGTGCGACCCAAAATATGTTTTCATGGGCTGTGGGGATGGTGAGGGAAGGCTCAGAACCTGAGTTTGATCTCTAGGTCCCACATGGTGGAAGGAAAGAAAGGGCCCCTTGCACCAGCTGAGCTCCACCGAGACACACATGCAAACCGATAAAATAAATAAATAAATATAAGTACAATAAAGTCCAAACAAAATCATGGATTTACAGAAGTCTTAATTTCTCTCTACTGAGCAGGTGTCTTTCAAACATCTTCAGTGCATAACAGGCTGGGTTGTTTGTTTCCTTCACAGCAACACAGGAATGTTTCTACTCATTCTTGGAAGTTTGCCTCAGCTCTCATGGCTGAGAAGCTTTCTCTAGGATCTATTTCCACAGCAGCCTGCCCGCCCGCCACGGATGTGCAGACACAGACACTTACAGAGGCCTGAGACTGGGCCAGGCCTCCTCCCTGGGCTGGGGCTGATAGAGTCCTGCTTCCAGTGTTGTTACCGAGCACCTAACACAAGACTGGGCCCTGGGGGTGCTGGGCATTTTCTGTCAGGTTGTGGAAGGAAATGCACAAGGGTGGAGGCTGCTAGTTACACATCTTTGTTTGCTTAGCTTGGTTTTTTAGGCAGGGTCTAGATTGGCCTCAGTTTTTGTGATCCTTCCCCTCCCCCCCTCCCAGCCTTGAAAATGCTAGACTCACAGGCCAGCCACTGTATGTACACTCAGGACAGGTAGTGATTGAATTGATTGCTTGAATGAAGATATGACCCAGAAGGAACGCCAGCCATTACTGTTGTTAGGATTGATTGGATCTCAGAGTGTGATTTCTGCTTTCTCCTAAAAATCTCATCCGCTGATGGAGGTTGTAAATGGACGCGAGGGTTTTTTTTTTTTTATGAAAAGATAACAGTGAAATAGTTGGCAAAGGA